AGGAAGGGAGAAGAAGAGAAAGAGAGAGAGAGAGAGATTGACTGATTTGTTGTTCCACTTATTTAAGCATTCATTGGTTACTTCTTGTATGTTGTACATACTACATCCTGAGATCCAATCTGCAACCTTGGAGTAGAGGACGCTGTAATCAACTGAGCTACCTGGCCAGGGCCAGCCTAATTTTTTGTCTTTATTGATTTCAGAGAGAGAGGAAGCGAGAGGGAGAAACACTGATCGGCTGCCTCTAGTGCACCCCCCTACCGGGGATCAAGCCTGCAATTTGGGCATGTGCCCTGACAGGAAATCAAACAGGCGACCTCTCAGTGCATGGGACAACGCTCAACCAACTGAGCCACACTGGCCAAGGTGGGCCAGCCTTTTTAATTAAATGCATAACTCTAAAATATATAAGTCGCTGTATATTAAGATTTTGAACATTGAAATAATCTCTACCCTTTCATCTTTTCAGCTTCTTTTATTTTTTTAAAAAAATATATTTTATTGATTTTTCACAGAGGGGAAGGGAGAGGGATAGAGTTAGAAACATCGATCAGCTGCCTCCTGCACACCCCCCATTGGGGATGTGCCCGCAACCAAGGTACATGCCCTTGACTGGAATCGAACCTGGGACCCCTGAGTCCGCAGGCCAACGCTCTATCCTCTGAGCCAAACCAGTCAGGGCTCAGCTTCTTTTAAACATTTTCTCATAAAATAATGAAGTTCTCACAAAATAATGCAGAAAAGTCCTACAGGGAGCCATTCCAGCAACACTTTTGGTAGAACTCTAAATTCCCTCTGTTCCTACCACCTTTGTCCACAAAATGCTTCCTAATTAATGGAAATATTCCACGATCATGGATAGGAAGAATCAATAGTCAAGATGTTATTTATTCCCAACTTGATGTACAGATTCAATGCAATCTCAATCAAAACTCCAGTCAGTTATCTTGTGGATGTCAACAAACTGATTCTAAAATTTTTACAGAAAGGCAAAACAACTCAGAATAGCCAACAATATATATGTATGTATGTATGTATATATATATATATAATTTTAAATAATATATTTTTATTGTTTTCAGAGAGGAAGGGAGAGGGAGAGATAGAAACATCAATAATGAGATAGAATCATCAACTGGCTGCCTCCTGCACACCCCCTATTGGGTATGGAACCTACAACCCGAGTATGTGCCCCGACTGGGAATTGAACTGTGACCTTCTGGCTCATAGGTTGATGCTCAACCACTGAACCACATTGGCCAGGCTACCAAGACAATATTTTTTTTTTTAAATATATTTTATTGATTTTTTACAGAGAGGAAGGGAGAGAGATAGAGAGTTAGAAACATCGATGAGAGAGAAACATCCATCAGCTGCCTCCTGCACATCTCCCACTGGGGATGTGCCCGCAACCCAGGTACATGCCCTTGACCGGAATCGAACCTGAGACCTTTCGGTCCGCAGGGCCGACGCTCTATCCACTGAGCCAAACCGGTTTCGGCGTACCAAGACAATATTGAAGAAAAGTTGGAAGACTGACACTATTCAATTTTAAGACTTACTATAAATTTACAGTGTGGTATCAGCAAAAGAATAGAGAGCCCAGAAATAGACCTACACAAATATATTTAACTCAACTTTGACAAAGGTGCAAAGGCAATTCAATGGAGAAAGAAGAGTCTTTCCAACAAATGAAGCTGGGACAAACAGACATCCACAAGCAAAAAATAATAATAAATAAATCTAGACACAGACATTAACTCAAAATGGGAATGTTATGGCCAAACGAGCTTTTGCAGTTCAATATTTACTGAGTATGTATAACATCAAGCTAGGGTCTGAGGACAAACACATGAAAAAGAACCCTGCCTTCAAGAAGCTCAAAGTCTAGTAAATAAAAGGACAATAGTATAAAGAAACACAATATAATGCAATCAGGACAATAACAAAATACCTGCAGAGTCCAAAGGTTAACACAAAGGAGGCACAGTAACAAGGAGGTACAGAACAGAAGAAATCTCTAGAAAAAGAAATAAATGAAAAGGAAGCAAGTAAACTACCAGATACAGAGATCAAAACAATGGTTATAAGGATGTTCAAGGAATTTAATGAGGACTTCGACAAAGTTCCTAATTTGGGAATATCCTATGGGACAGATACTTTGAAATACTGTCCTAGGGAAACAGTGATGAATAAGATAAAGTCTCTGACTTCATGGAATCAGGTGGGGACCAATAAGTAAACCAGTAAAGTTCAGTGTGATAAATGCTAAAATAGAAATAAGTAGAGATATTAGAGATTTATGGGCTGAGCTGAAATAGGACCTAAACTGAGATGCAAAGCATGAACAGAAATTATCCAGGTGAAATCCTATATAATAAAAAGCTAATATGCAAATCGACCGAATGGCGGAACAACCAGTAGCTATGATGCGCACTGACCAACAGGGGGCAGATGCTCAAAGCAGGAGCTGCCCCTGGTGGTCAGTGCACTCCCACACGGGGAGCACTACTCGGCCAGAAGCTGGGCTCGTGAGTGCAACGGTGGTAGCAGGAGCTTCTCCTGTCTCCGTGGCAGCACTAAGGATGTCCAGGGGGAGTGGGCCTAAGCTGTCAGTCGGACATCCCCCGAGGGCTCCCAGACTGTGAGAGGCCGCAGGCCAAGCTGAGGGACATCCCCCCCAGTGCACAAATTTTGTGCACCAGGCCTTTACTATATATCTATAACTATATCTATATCTATATCTATATCTATATCTATATCTATATCTATATCTATATCTATATCCATATCCATATCTATATCTATATATCTGGAGTGGAGTGGAAGATGACATTCCAGGCACAGAGAAGAGCATACAGTGAGACACAAAATGTAGCTCAGTATGCCAGAAGCACAGGTGTCTAAGATAATGCTAAAGTAAAAGCAAGAACCATACCTTTTAAATTGGAGTTTGGACTTTACCTTGAGGGTAATAAGGAACTAATAAATGTTTTTTGCTTTTTTTTTTTAACATGAAAAGACCTGTTCAGATTTGTGTTTGAGAAAAGTATGTAGCTATAGTACAGTGAATAAAATACAAAGGAATAAGTCTGGAAGTAAATAAAACAGCTGCAGCAATCCAGAAAATGGTTTATGGTGGTCTGAACTACGATAGTAGCAATGGAAATAGAGAAAGTGGGTGGGGAGGCTGAGAGTTTTAAGAGGTGGAAGAAACAAGACTTTTAACTGATTTGATTGGAAGTAGAGAGAAAGAAAAAGGAGTCAAAGATGATGGATGCCTCAGTTTCTGGTTTGGGCAAAGGGTAGATGGTGCTACTGAAATGGGAGAGCACATTTGAGAGGGTAAATAATCACTTTCATTCCGGTCACACTACTAAGTGACTAAAGGGCAGGGGCACCTACAGTGTGGATACACTGGACAAAGAGATGATTCACGCCCCAGGTGGAGCAGCATAAAATTTAATTTCAGCACACAATTCAAAACTTAAGAACTGTTTATTTCTGGAATTTTCCATTTAATATTTTCAGACTGTGGGTAACTGAAACCATTCTATGGATAAGGTGGGGACTACTATGAGGGGTGGGCAAAAGTAGTACACGAAAGAGTTTGTTCTTATATTATTATTTCCCAAACAACTGTAAACCTACTTTTTCCCACCTCTGTATATACATACAATGGAATAGTATTAAGCCTCCAAAAGGAAGGAAATGCTGACACATGCTACAACATGGATAAACTTTGAGGTCTTTATGCTAACTTAAATAAGGCAGTCACAAAAAAACAAATACTGTATAGTTCTACTTATATGAGGTATCTAGAGTAGTCAGAAGCATAAAGACAGAAAATAGAATGGTGGTTGCCAAGGGCTGGGGAGAAGGAAATATGGACTTAATTGTTTAATGGGTATAGAGTTTTAGTTTTGCAAGATGAAGAGTTATAGAAATGGATGGTGGTGATGGTTGCACAATATGAATGTACTCAATACTACTTAACTATATATGTAATAATGGTTAAAGTGGTAAATTTTATATGTGCATTTTACCACAGTAAAAATATTTTCTGGGGGACTGAGAAGCATCAAGGGTTGAAGTATCTCTTTTATTGCTTTAAAAAAAATATATATATATATATATATTCTCTCAGAGTAATTCTACAGATCATTATTATTAAGCCAAACATTTTTATACTAAAATACAGATTTCTCTAGCCTTCTCTTCAGAGTATATAGCTCACCTTAGACAAACCCCTTGAGGAAGATGATGTTTCTCTCATAGTTATTTGTATTATAATGGCATGCATTTTGCTCCTACCTTTTATAGTGGGAAATTTCAAATACATATAAAGGAAGAGAGAAATAAATAAGGAAACCCCATATAGATATTACCCAGCTTAAACAATTAATCAACCCATAGACAATTTTGTTTTATCTACAATTCCACCCACTTTATTCTTCCTCTTCCAGTGAATTATTTTGAAGCCAATCACAGATATATCATTTCAAGCATAAATATTTCAGTATGTTATCTCTACATACTAAAAAATACTGTTGAAAAATACATATTGAAAGATGACCAGTGTCCTGCATAAGTGCCTGTACTGGTGAGTCAGATTTCTGATATATTCTTCCAGTAAGCTATATATCAGACACAGGATAATAATACATCCAATCATTCTATTGTAGTTCCTTACCACTAAGAAGGGCTCTCAAACAAGAAAATCAAGAAGAAAATGACTTAAGTTTCAACTGTAATAGGATCACTGATCAAATATGGTCTTAGAGGCCTCTTAGGAAAGAGTTGGAGAAAGGTACACACTCTCTACACCTGTCGGAGGTAACTGACTTTCATGTTATACAAGCTTTTTGGTGAATGATAACAACACAGTAATAGTATATAAATATTATTATACATAAAGTAATGCATGTGCCTTCATGTTTTATAAAGCAAATGCAATAAAACTAGCTCAGTGCAGAAAATTTTTATTCAACTGTCCTTACCTTTTGTCGGACTGAGATTCTGATCTGTAAATCCTCTTAATTCTGCATTTGTGGAACTCAAACCAACCTGAATAAAATAGTTTTTTAAAAGTTAAAAAGATCTAAGTATTAGATGATCACTCAATAAGCCATTTTATACCTTCCACTAGAGGTCCATATCAATTAGTAATATGGCCACATAAAAATGAATTAATTACAACTACAGGAGGATTAAAAAGAAAATGTTGCCATATTGCTTGACATAAAGAAACTATGAATTGTCCAGATAAAGTAAAATTTTAAAATGTTACTTATGAGGAGAACTAAGATCTATAGATTTTACTGACGGTTTTTGTAAACAATTAATGTGGCAGCCAAGAAGTTGGCAGTAGATATACCAAAATTTCTCACCCTCACTATTTCCCTTCATTTTTACTATTCAAAATCACTGCTTATAATGCTTTTCAACATTATGACACATAATGGACCAAATAAAGACCATTAATAACACAATGCAACTCTGAAGATGAGTGGGACTTGTATCAGGATGAGCTGGAAGATTTTTATGGCTTGGATCTCTACAGCTTCATGTGGCGCATTAACTGGTCTGCTGAGCCTCAGATGGTAGCTGTCCCCTGTGGTAGTGCCTGTGTTTCTCTCCTAGGCAGGCCTAGCAACTCCAGTTGCTATCATAATAATTTTTACCCAGGACCTGTCTTCTCAATCCCTCACCTTTCCCCAAGGAGTATGTTTTTTTCTCTGTTTAAAAAAGTTACCATGCCCAAACTACCATTTGACCCAGTGATCCCACTTCTAGGAATATATCCCAAGAAACTAGAAATACCAATCAAAAAGGGTATATGCACCCCTATGTTCACAGCAGCACAATTTACATTAGCTAAGATTTGGAAACAGACTAGGTGCCCATCAGCAGATAAGTGGATTAAAAAACTGTGGTACATCTACACAATGGAATACTACGCTGCTGTAAAAAGGAAGGAACTCCTACCATTTGCAACAGAATGGATGGACCCGGAGAGCATGCATGCATACAAGTCCTAACTTGTATGCTAAGCGAAATAAGTCAGTCGAAGAAAGATAAATATCACATGATCGCACTCATTTGTGGAATATAATGAACAACATAAACTGATGAACAAAAACAGATCCAGAGACAGAGAAGCATTGATCAGATGGTCAAACCTCAGAGGGAAAGTAATTCTATGTAGATAAATGATGTAGAGACTTATTTTTGTCTAGCTTCTTACAAGTATTGTTAGAAGTACTAAAGTAAAACCTTTGCAACTAAATTTGCAAATTACCACTACATACATCTCCACAGTGGCTCACAAGTACCAATATTAAGTGTTCAATTTGTAAATGCCAAGAGTTTACTGTGGCATCACTAACATGCCTCTACTTTCAAACTCTTCTGCTATTAAAAAAAAAAGAACGTCAAACTTCTGTTGGTGCTCTACTGTAAAAAGAAAGAAGGCCAAGACAGCCTTCAACATATTCCATGCTTAATACAATGTGACTGTTAAGTACATGTATTTCAATAACTGCAAAAGCATAAGTTTATCCCCTTTTGTTATTATACAAAGTTAACGGCAAAAACCTCAAGTAAAACCACATATTCACAGTCGAGAGTTCAGTTATTGAGTTACTGTTAGGTTTAAACACCTGCTCTTAATGTCCAACTTCTGCAGAGAAGCAGCAAACAAATTTAGAACCTTTTTAAGCAGCTGTACACCTGCACCTTAATAATTAACAAATTATACTCTAAAAGGTCAACTGGGAGTCAATATTGTCTACTAATTTTGCTGTCATAGATGGAGGGAAAGTGTTTGTATTCAGAGCTTATATAAATACTACCAAAATTTATTTACTAAAACTTCAAAAGTGTATTAATTTCTGCTTTCATAAACACTTTATAGTTTAGACTCAAAGAAAAAGTAGATTGTTTGAGAGTAGAAAGGGTTGCTAGGAAAGGCATTTAAAAATGTTAGGACTTGTATGCATGCATATAAGTACAACCAATAGACGCAAGACACTGGGGGAAGGGGATGAGGGCAAGTGCAGGGGGTAGGGGAGGCCAGGGGGAGGACAATGGGGGGGAAAAAGGAGACATATGTACTACTATTTGTAACACCTTAAACAATAAAATTAAAAAGGAAAAAAATGTTAGCTATTCTTTCCTTATTTAAAAAGGATCTTTTTATAATGTTTCACAGAGCAAGAGAAAAAAGTAAACTCATTTTATATAAAATTTTTCACCTAATAAGGTCCTGCGAAAGTTTTCTATGTGGATATCAAACACTGTTGCATACAATAATCAGTCATAAACTGTCCAATTAAAAATATCCAAGCCAAATTTTTAAGAATCAAACCATATTCCCCAATAACAGCATTATAACTGTACTAATATTTAACATTTCAGATCAACATAACTGAAAGGGAAAAAAAAATCATAGCTCTACCATTCACAAGCAGGGTGATCTTGGAACAGCAGCTGCAAAATGGGGTTAATTCGTACATGTACGAAAAACTCAGAGAGCTCCTGGATGAAATAAAAAATGTGAACATGTTTGTTGACAGCAAAGCAATGTTCAGTATGGACAGTTATTCAAATGACAGTGGCTTTTGACACTTCAACACTGACTAGACATTTTATAAAAGAGAAATGCCAGTGACGTATAAACATATAGAACACCAGTGTAACCCTAATTAGCAATGCAATCAGAGAACTGTAATAAGTGACATACCATTTTTACTAACTAGATTGGCAAGGATTAAAGAGAAACTAAATGGAAATGTCACTTTAATGCTCCACTGGTGTATACATAAATTGGTGCAATCTTTTTGAAATGCAATTTAGCAATATGAGTCAAAAGCTTAACCCAAAAAGCCCTAGGCCAGGGGTGGGCAACCCCTGGCACGCGTGCCAAACATGGCACACCAGTAACTTTTGCTGGCACGCGAAACCCTCTCTTATAATCTTCCATTTACAATTTTTTTCTTAATTTCGACTTTTTTATTTTTCAGATAAATTCAATGTAGGTGCATCTTAGATAAATAAATAATTTTACATAACAAGTTATCTTAAAGACCATAGACATGGATTGACGAGAGAGGGGAAGAGCAATTTCTATGCTTCTGCCTTAACTCTCCCTGCCTTCCTAGATCCGACCAGTGTTTTGGTTTCATCCACATACGCTTGTGAATCTTTGTTCTCAGTGATGAATTTTGTTAAGTCTCGTAATAGGAGTAGCCTGACGGATGAAAGTAGTAGCTCGTGCATATCTCTGAAGATCACGAAATATAAACCTGATGTAAAATATCTGTCATCAGTGATGCAGCAACAAAAGTCCCACTGATAATATCAAATGGAGTCATAAAGTTTTCTGTCGAACTATCAGTGTACATGTATACATTAAAAAATAAATGTGTTTTTCATCATCATATACTGTGTTTTTGTTGCTGGAATGAATTTTATTATTTCTTCAAGGTTCTTCACATACGTACACCTTAAGAGATATCAAGTAGGCGTAAGATGTTCTCAAAAAATTAGGGTTGGCATGCAGAAGAATTTTGAGTCAGAGATTCTGCTGGTTTGGGCACGCACTCACAAAAAGGTTGCCCACCCCTGACCTAGGCGGTTTGGCTTGGTAGATAGATCGTCAGCTTCGGACTGAAAGATCCCAGGTTCAATTCTGGTCAAGGGCACATGCCTGAGTTTCGGGCTTGATCCCCAGTGGGGGGCATACAGGAGGCAGCCAATCAATGATTCTCTCTCATCATTGATGTTTCTATTCAGTGGTCGGCAAACTGCGACTCGCGAGTCACATGTGGCTCTTTGGCCCCTTGAGTGTGGCTCTTCCTAAGCCTTAGGAGTACCCTAATTAAGTTAATAACAATGTACCTACCTATATAAGTTTAAGTTTAAAAAATTTGGCTCTCAAAAGAAATTTCAATCGTTGTACTGTTGATATTTGGCTCTGTTGACTAATGAGTTTGCCAACCACTGTCTCTCTCTCCCTTCCTCTCTGAAATCAATAAAAATATATTTAAAAAAATAAGTCCCCAGAAAGCACACACCCTTGGAGCCAGTAATTTCCTAAGACTCTGCCTCATGGAAATAATCCAAAAAGTAAGCAAATTTTTTTTTAAATTAAAGAAAAATGGAAATAATTTAATGGTCAATATTAGAAAACTGGTATAATATCCATATAACACAAAACATCCATTTAAAATGATGTTGCAGAGTTATCAAGACAAGAAAAAATATTCATCATAGAGATTAAGCTAAATAGATTACAAAACAGTATGACCTCATTTTTACTAAAAATGTATAACATACAGATGATGTAGAATTGTACACCTGAAACCTATATAATGTCACCCCAACAGATTCAATAAAAAGGAAAAAAGTTTTTGTACGATTACATGTCGACATGACAATATTTTGGAAAAACTGAGCTAAATATATTAAAATTAAGAAAATATGTAACATAAATATATTTGAGATATACATACACTTGTATATATACCAGTCAAATTTTTGCTCATAATCTCTAGGCTAGTTTTTTTTTTTTTATTTATCTGTATTTTCTAATTTTTCTGTAATGAGCATTATGGCATTCATACTTTTAAAAAAATTCTTGACAAGGAAAAAAACACACACCTCATATTAAGTTTCAAATTCTTTATTGTATAATGAATGAGCTTAAGTGAGACACATGTGCATTTTCGGTCTAGAAGATTATCACTGGATACTAGATACTACTGGGTAACAACTTTACCCCAGATACAATGAATATATTGCCATCTCAGCAGAGCTTCCTTTTGTAGAGTAATCCATGCCACAATCCATGTAGCTCTGGTAGGACTTTTCATCTTAGTGCCACAATTATGCCTTGGTATCAGAGCTGGCCATTTATGGTACTAATTTCCTTCTTCACACTGGCTTGTCTAAGCAGTAGGCCAAGCAGGGTCAATGAAAGCAACCAAGGCTCTGCGTGGAATTTGAAATATAAATGCTAAAAAAGAAAACTTCCCTCGCTTCCTCGGAGATAAACATTCTAAGGCCAATGTAGGCCGTTATGCCACCATATAGAGGCAAGAGATGGAAAAGAAAAACAGAGCCCTGACACCATCATTTGATCCCCTGAATGCAGCAGTGTCTGAAGCCAGAGGACTCCAGACTTTCAGTTATGTGAACCAACATGTTCCACTTTGGCCATAAGCTATTTTGAACAGGCTTTCTATTGCTTGCAACCATAAGAGACCAAGTATGGCATGGAAAACGCAAAAGTAACTCTTCACAAAAAAACTGTTCTCATAAAAGAACTGCAAAATGGGAAACAAAAATTAAGATATAAATAACTGAATATATGTCTAAGGACGCCTCCATAAGACCAGGCGATATCTCCTATATCAATGAGTCACTTTTCGCCCTAACTGGTTTGGCTCAGTGGATAGAGCGTAGGCCTGCGGACTGAAGGGTCCCAGGTTCAATTCCGGTCAAAGGCATATACCTTGGTTGCGGGCACATCCCCAGTAGGGAGTGTGCAGGAGGCAGCTGAATTGATGTTTCTCTCTCATCAATGTTTTATCTCTCTATCCCTCTCCCTTCCTCCCTATAAAAAAATCAATAAAATGTATTTTTTTTTAAAAAAAGAGTCACCTTTCAGTGATGTGTGATATAATTGATCACTCTCTCCTTCTTGAAACACTTCCTTCACTGGGTGTCCAGATCATCAGGATAACACTGCCTCCTTCTTTTCTGGCTATTCCTTGAGTCTCCTTGGTCCTCATGTATTTTCTAACCATGAACGTACTATATAATCTCATATAGTCCCTCTGCTTTAAAATCCTATATAATAAAGAGCTAATATGCTAATTAGACTGGGTGGCAGAACGACCTTCTGGAACAACCTTCCAGAACGTTGGGCGGGGCCGCACGGCAGCTGGGGCTGTGAGGACCGAGCCCCTTGCACGAATTTCATGCATTGGGCCTCTAGTATTTAATATGAAATTACTCCAAAATGTCTATATCTAGCCCCAAGCCTTCCCCTGAGCTCCAGAGTCACTTACCAAACTGCCTAGCCAATATCTCTACTGTAATGTTTTTAGGTCCCTCAACTTCAATATATTCAAAACAATTTTTTAGTATACCCCAAAATCCTGCACTACCCCAACAGTTCCTCTTTACCGAGCTGCACAAGACAAATACGAAAAGTCTTCTTTAACCTATCCTCTGCCCCCTATATCCTAATTAGTAGGTCCTGATGGCTGTCCCTTGAAATACATCCTAGATCCAGCCACTTTTCCCCCATCTCCAATATATCATTACCCAGCCCAAATCACAACACTCTGTTGTCTGAACCACGAGGGTAAGTACCAAAACAAATCCCTGCTTCCTAATATCCCCATCTTCAGTCTATTCGCTCAGTAGCCGACACAAACTTTTTAAAATGTTCTCAGGCCATGCAACTACTGGTATCCTCAAAACCTTCAACAGCTCCTCACAGACATTTAAAATACATACCCCTCCCTCCCACCCCCAACCTTCAAGGCTCCACACGATCAAGCTCCTGCCACTCTCCCTTGCTTATTCTGTTCCATCTCTAAACTGGCCATCTTCCTGCTCCTTGAACAACCACACTTTCCCCTGCCTCTACCTGGAATGCTCTTTCCCCAGATATGCACATGGCTGGCTCCTTGGATTGAGATTCAAGAGCACTGCTCTGTCTAGATGTCATTTCCTCTTAAAGAGGACTCTTCTGATCATCTAGTTGAAAGAGCACTCCCTCATCCCTGGCACTCTCTCCTTTTATCCTGTTTTTCTTTACAACAATTATTATTACCCGACACTGTCTTTTCTCACTACACTATAAGACCTCAGAAGGCAGGAGCCTAGAACAGTGACGTGCACATATACTAGTATTTGTTGGAGAACAGTGGGGATGGGAGAGAAGAATTGCTCATAGCTTGGTAAACTAGTATAATCTTTTTAGTAAGTATCTTGACAAAGCCTGCTAAAAGCCACAGAAATGTTCTTATCTACTGCAGAATGGCTAGTAGACCTGACTGGCTATTTTCAAGCAGCCGGTTTTAACCCTTTCCCACAGGCTTCAGCCTAGTCTGAGGCTCGGTCTCTCCATGTCCTTAACGCAGGGTTTCAAAGAGGTTCAGCTTATCACTTACCCCTCTGCCCCGTCCCTAGGTGGCTATAGCAGAAGGAGAAACATGACGCTCACTGTGTGATTTCTCCAAATATATAGACAAAATAATGGGACTGCAATTATCACTAGTTCAAATGCTTTATGTTACTTTCAGGAAACAACTTATTAATACAGCAAACTGTATATATGACCAGGAAGATTATATTTGATTCAAAGTACATTGTAAGCCAAAAATATACTTTTGCTATTTAAATGTTAACCATCTTTCACATCCTTTTTTTCCTAAAGAAGAGAAAATCAAGGTAATATCCTATAAGACAATTCCCAATACACAGACTAAAATTTTGCTTATTCTTTTCCCCAAACAGCACTTTAACAAATATATGCATCTTAGAGTAAAGCAAACTACTCCTGATCATTTATCCCAACAAAATTAACTAAATGTTAATAAAGAAAAATCTGTATCTGCTTAGAGCTACTAATGCATGCTAAAGCAAGGTTAATAACAGCAAACCAGAGATAAGTAATAACGGTTTGTTTTTTTAGTGCTATTCTTTAGATGGATAATGGTAGTATTTAGAATTATTTGTCTGGCTCACAAGGAGACCTTTTTACTCAATATAATGCTTGCTTCTCCTGGTCATAACTAACCAAACCTCAGGTGGGTATCTGGCTGAGGCACTGCCAGAGGTCCTTCCCAAGGAGTCTGGAGCTGACCTAGGCAGGCAGAACCTGCCGGCTGCCTCCGGCTGCCTCCGCCTCTCCCTTTCACACTTCTCTCTCCCTGAACAGGCTGACTCTGTACCATGTCGACTGAGATATTAACTGGAGAACTGAGGAAGATGATATGCAGAGAGACAGAGTCATGAAGCAGATGCAGAGAGACAAGCAGAGATGACAAATGGAAACCAAGTGCTGCCTCTATTCCTGGTAGATTTCAAGTTCCTGGACCCAGGTCTTTTCCAACATAATAATCAAGGAACAGTAAAGCTATTATGTAAGTTATTTCCTAGATGCTTTAGTATTTATTTTCTGGCACAATCCTTCACCATAACTGAGAACAAATCCATTGACAGAGGGTGACAATAAAATGTAACTTCAAAGAAAGTAGATTCAGAAATGATAGTTTCAAACAAACAAAAATTAAATAATTTCTCCAAAACATCTAAATCCTAATGTCACCTCAGGAATCATGTCATGGAGGCTAGCAGGCTTTTCTGAACTATACATGAGTATACACATTTCCCTGAGTAAATACAAAGAAAAACACTGAACCAAAGAAAATAGTGAGGGTAAGAGTCTCCAGCAATACTAAAGCAAATTTATTACAGTACCCAACAAAGGAGCAGGGTGGGAAACTTTCTGGAGAAAGCAATTTGGTAGCTGTTGAGAAAGAGCAACTTAGCAGCAATTATAAGAATGCTACCATGCCCTTTAGCGTACTGTATTCAGTAGCATTCAAGTTTACTATCTCATTCTTTGCATAAACAAAGACAATTATAAATTAATGACAGTAAACTAAATTTGAGGAACCTGAGTGGTGGGGAAAAAAATACCAGTAGGAAAAAGTACAACTCACTTTAAAAATACCTACATTAAAACATTTACAAATACTTACATTTTTTGCCGTCATGTCAAATTGTATTCGGTTTAAAATTCTGTAAAGCCATTAAGAACAAAAATAAAAACTTTGTCTTCAATAATTCCTTAAAAAAGCATCCTGTTAAAGAAGGAAAAAAGAGAGAATAGTAATGTAATAATAATAATAGGCAACATTTATGTCATATTTACTATGTGAGATATATATATGTAGTTCTTTAGGTAAATTATTTAAATTAATCCTCACAACAAAGACTATAAGATATGTACCAGTTTAATCGCCCATTTTCCGAATAAAAATTGGGGGTGAGAGAGGGTAGAGATTTTGGACAGATCAACTCCGCTAG